AAACAAAAACAAAAACAAAAACAAAAACCCCAGAAATTGATTTCTTATAGTTCTGAAGGCTGGAAAGTCCAAGATCAAGGAGCCAGCAGGTCCAGCTGTCTGGTGAGGGCTGCTGTCTGCTTCCAAGATGGCGCCTTGTTGCTGCATCCTCCAAGGGGAGTACTCTGCCCTCACAGGGCAGAAAGCAGAAGGGCAAGTGAGTTGAATGATGTGTGAAGCCTTATAAGGGCCTGAGTCTCATCACAAGGGAAGGAACCCTCATGACCTAATTACCTCTTAAAAGCTACACCTCTTAATACCATAACATTGGCCATTAAGTTTCAACACCTGAATTTTGAAGGAGACACATTCAAATCATAGCAATATGAACATTTATTCATTTATTCATTCAGCAAACACTTGCCAAGTGCCTACTCTGTGGCAGATGCTATTGTGGTAGGCAGCTTCTAAAATGGTTTCCAATGACCCCATAGTCCTGCTATTTATGCTTTTGCGAATTCCTGCCCTTAAAGGTGGGCTGGACTTACTTCTAATGCAGACATTGGCAAACTTTTTTAGTAAAGGTCTAAATAATAGATACTTTTTGCTTTGTAGGCCATGTTAACTTTCTCCCCATTACTCAATTTTGTTGAGATGAATAAATGAGATTGGCTATTACTACATGAATGAATGAGATTGGCTATGTTCCAATAAAACTTTATAAAATCAGGTGGTGGACCAGATATGGTCTGCTGACCTTGTTTTCAGACCCCTGTTCGGAGTAATCAAAAAGTGATAGTGTGGCCGCAGGGTACAGTGGCTCACGCATGTAATCCTAGCACTTTGGGAGGCCAAGGCAGGAGGATCACTTGAGGCCAAGAATTTGAGACTAGCCTGAGCAACATATTGAGACCCTGTCTCTATAAAAAATAGAAAAATTGGCTGGATGTGATGGTGCACGCCTGTAGTCCCAGCTGCTTGGGAGGCTGAGGCAGGAGGATCACTTGAGTCTGGGAGTTTAAGTTGCACAAAGACTCTGACACCCATCTTGCCTGCCCTCTCTGGCTCTCTCACTTGTGCACTTGGGTGGAAATGAGCTGCCATTTTGTCAGTTAAGTTATACAGAAGCCCACATAGGGGAGATGCCTCAGGCCAACAGCCAACAAGGAACCTAGGCCCTCATTCCAACAGTCTGGGATGAACTGGATCCTGCCAACAACCACTTATGTGAGCGTGAAAGTCAGTTCTTCCCTGGTCCAGCTCTGGGACAACTACAGCCCCAGCTAACACTTGGATTGTGAAAGACCCTGAGCTGGGGGACCCAGCTAAGTGATGATGACTAGAATCCTGACTCATAGAAACTGTGAGATAATGAATGCTTGTTATTTTAAGCCGCTGAGGTTTGGGACAATTTGTTACACAGTATTAGATAAATCCTATGATAACCTCACTAGATAATCAATACATACTATGATAGGCTCCATATAACAATGAACAAGGAAAAATGCTGCATATTATTTTCTCCTCTTGGAGATTCATTGTGAACATTAGCATATTAAAACTTTCAAAACATCCTACAGAAAACAAGCAGGTTTAATTTTTGTTCAATCAATAATTTTCTTAGATTTCAATTTCTTGAGCAAAGAATAAGAAATATAAGACAAAAAATTTTCCAATCATATCTAATCACAGACCCTGTTTTCTGGGAAAATATCTATTAATGTCTTATGGAACTACCCTTTGGAGGAATATAAAATGCTAGAATGAGAAAAGAAATCATTCTACTAGAGAAGTAGTGATTGCCAATCTGCCATTTCTCTCTGGGCTGAACAGCTAGTGAGACAAATTGACATCTTACATAATGAAAATAACCTTGTGGGAATTTATACATAGGTATGTGCACACAATGCACTGTACCAGCTCGCATATTTAAGCTCAGCAGAGACAGCAGTTATTCTTTTTGTCATGCTCGGTTCATTATGTAACTCGGTAATCCCTTAACACAGAGGATCAGAACAATTTTGAGAACTTGCTGAGTAAAAAAGGGTGTATGTTGGCTCTTGGAGGGATTTCACATACCAGCAGCTGGGCATCTTATGAAACTAAGAATTTGTTTTGATTTAACGTTGATTCAGAAGGAGGTATTTAATTTCCCACATTGCCTTGAGGTTTTTATCTGAACAACACATTATTATAAAGCAGTTTGCCAAGACACATCCCCACCTTGCTTACACTTGAGGAAACTGAGGCTCAGATACTAAATTCCTTGTAAACCTTCAATCTGGGGAAGTCAGAGCAGGGATTCAAATCTGGCACTGACTATGCCATGCTGCTCTTCTGTAACATTTCTAAAATTGCTCCTAATATGGCACATGCCTTCCTAGTATGTTCATTTGAAAATGTGCTTCTCTCTCATAGAAGTGTAATAAGAGTAAGAGGCACTGCAAATGTTTGTCTTATTCTGGAATTCCTCTGACTCTTTAATAGTTTCTTCAGCTACTCCAGGCCCTGCTGTACTTTCTCTTCTTGGGATTTATAGCAACAGAGGATTGCTTAGAAACTTAGATGTTTCTGGTGCTTGGACCCCAGCTAGAGTAGCACCGACAAGAGGTCATCTATCTTGAGCTTGACTATCTCCATTAATGGACAGAATCTTCTGAGACAACCAGAGCTGGGAAGTGATTTTTTCCCCACTTATATTGAGCCAAAATGTTCCTCCCTGACATCATCCACTGTTCTTAATTTTGTCCTCCAGGCATTCACAAACCATGTGTAACTGATTTTACGTATATGAAAAGCCTTTAGATAGTTGGTGTGTGCGTGTGTAGTGTGAGAAAGGGCCCCAATTTCTTTTCTATTTTTCTAAAAACAGATAATCTGTTTTCTATAAACGGAAAAAATCCATCTCTTCCTTTCAATCTGTCATTTAACAAGTGCCCATGTACACCTGGGTCTGTTTTGGAGTTTCCTTTCTGTTGCACTGGTTTAGTTGTCTGTCCCCAAACTGATGCCACATCATCTTATTACCACAGCTTTATAGTAAATCTTTTATTATTATTTTTTTAATTTTTGAAACAGTCTCACTTTGTTGTCCAGGCTAGAGCAAGTACCATGACGTCAGCCTAGCTCACAGCAACCTCAAACTCTTGGCTCAAGCAATCCTGCTGCCTCAGCCTCCCGAGTAGCTGGACTACAGGCATGCACCACCATGCCCAGCTAATTTTTCTATATATATATTGTTGGCCAATTAATTTCTTTCTATTTATAGTAGAGCCGGGGTCTCACTCTTGCTCAGGGTGGTTTTGAACTCCTGACCTCAAGCAATCCGCCCACCTCGGCCTCCCAGAGTGCTAGGATTACATGCGTGAGCCACCACGCTGGCCATATAGTAAATCTTAACATCTAGAAACACATCTCCCTTCTTTGTTCTTCCAGATTGTCTTGACTGTTTTTGGCCCTTTAAACTTCCATAAATATTTTAGAATCAGCTTTGAAGTTACATACACACACACACACACACACACACACACACACACCCTCACAATATCTCCTTTTTAAAAAATGAGATTGCATTGGATCTATAGATCAAGTTGAGAGAATTAATGTCTCACTCTACTGAGCACTTTAATCCATTAATAAGTCATATCTCTCCATTTATTTAGGTCTTTAAAATATTTTAATAAAGTTTACACTTTCATTTTTTTTCTAGCTACTTAATAGTTTTGATGTTATCATAATGATATAACTTTACAAACTTCTTTTTTTTATTTCTTTTTTGTGTACTATTTCTGGACTGAACAAACTTCTTTTTTTTATATTTTTTTTTATTTCAGCATATTATGGGGTACAGATTTTAAGGTTTCAATAAATGCCCATTCCCCTCCCCTCCCCCACAAGTCTGAGTCTCCAGCATGACCATCCCCCAGATGGTGCACATCTCACTCATTATGTATGTATATACCCGCCCCCCTCCCTCCTCTCCCCTCCCACCTGCCCAATACCCTATTACTGTAGTACCTATGTGACCACTTAGGTGCTTGAACAAACTTCTTGATTGAAATAGAGGCTATAGAAAAATATGCAAATCAGGAGTGTAGAGCTCAGTGAATCATAGAGAGAAGAGAAGTGTGGGCTCCCACCCTAGGTCAGGATTAGCACCCAGATCACCTCTCACATCTCTCTCCCATCACTACTCTCCCTTTCCTCCAGGGTAAACTCTATCCTGACTTCTAACACTACAGTGTAGAACTTTGTGTAAATGAAACCATACAAAATGTATTATTTTGTTTCCAGCTACTTTTGTTTAATGTGGTATGTGTCTGATTCATCCCTATGGTTGTGTAGCAGCAGATTATTCATTTCATTGATGGATGGTATTCTATTACATGCACAGTATATTTATCTGTTCAACTATTGATGGATGCTTGGGCTGTTTCTAGTTTGGAGCTATCCAATGCAGTTGACAATATTCTTGTTGATATATTTTCATCCACAAGTGTACTTTTTCTGTTGGATCCAGTTGGCATTATTCAGGAAATAATATCAATAAGTTTGGGCTAGTAGATATTGAATGTCAAGAGACCATATAGATAAAAGATGAGCCAGCCCCCAAATGTTTCAGCCACCCTAGTCAAAGTAGCAGATGTAGGAATGAAGTCGCCTTAGATATTTCAGTTCCAACAGAGCTCCCTCCCAGGTGAATGGAAACCAGCATGATCCTCCAGCCTACAAAACATGAAGCAGAAAAACTGCCCATCTGAGGCCAGCAAACCCAATGAATTGTGAAAAATAATAAATAATTCCTGATTAAAGCTACTAAATTTTGGGATGGTTTTGTTCTCCAGTACAGACTGATAAACCATGTGTTGATGAGCATCCAAAATTCTTACTTACAGCTGGAGTTCATAGGTATATTTGTATGGCTTATTATATATATATATTTATAAGCATACACATACACATATATATAAATTATTATAATTCTATATATATCTATGTGTTATATATATGAATTACTGTAATTGTATAATTCTTATAAGGACAACTTCAGTATATTGGATATTTGTAGGTGATCTTAATTATACATCTATTGAAATAAGCCTATAGTTCCTACAAGTAGAAGAAAATAATTTGCTGAGATGCTAGCTGGGGATTCTTCCCGGAAAAGCCTGGAAGCGGAGAGCTACCGTACCAGATTCAGTGCCTGGACGCCTATTAGCAACAAGTCATTAAATAAACAGGTGAGTTACATATTCTGGAATAAAACTACATTTATTTGTAAGGTTAATTTTAGTGTGATATATTAGGTCTCATGTTGCTATGTTTTTAAAGAAAACTCTAAAGAATTTAGTTTTTGAGTCAGTTTAAACAAAAGAAACCTAGCTTTGTCTATCCCAGAGACAGTCTCTCCTCACCCCAGTCCCCAGCTCCTGCCTCATGGACAGTTCCAGATCTGCATCCTTTACACCTCTGTACCTCCAGACACCAAATAGAGACCTTGGAAAGACACAAGGGTTACTGTCGTAGGGAAAAAAGATGACAGGAAGGTGCTTTTAATGGTGGTGGTGGTGTGGGAGTGTTCATGCCTGACTCCATGTGTGTTTCTGTAATCCTCTCTCCCCTCCTGTGCCAAGCGCACGGTTCCACATGGCCTGGAGATGCCACTCCTACTTTCAGGTAATGCAGGACGTCATCATTCCGTGGCTTAGGGCAGTTCTTGCAGTGGAGAAGACAAACTGGGTTCTCGGAGCTCTCATAGGCTCAGTCTCGTTCACAGGGGAAGGAGACTAGACAAGGTGAGGGCTAAAGCCTGACGTATAAGACAGTGAGTTTGTCTATGTCTGCCCGATCAAAGTTGGACTGAATCCCAAGTCTGGGGACTCTGGTCCTTGGGGTATGTCTTCCGGGGAGACACCACTAACAATGGCTATTTAGCAATACTTATTAACTTCCAGCGCAGAGGTGCCATGAAGATCCATGATTAGTGAAATCATACCTATTTCAATAGGTCCTGTTTTCACAGTTAAATGAGTGGATAGCCGGCGTGTGTTTTCAAGATGAAATGTATGCACTGTTTCCCTAGGCCTCCTTAGCCTAGGTAGAAACAAGAGCCAGGAAAAACCTCTTTGTTTTTCAGAAGCCCTCCGTAATTACATCCCCGCCAGTGTTTCCCACCAGCCCACCCAACAAGTCTGGGCTCGCTGGTATCCCTGGGTAAAAATAGTTTAAACTGAAAGGAGAGACCCCGACTACATATGTGAAAGTGCTTTGCGAGTGTAGTACAATATGCAAATATTAGTTCTGAGGTTGCTGGTAGATCGTCTAAAGATTGTTTAGCAACGAAGAACATGCTGAGCTGTACAGTGATATGTCATTTTTTCCCTCTTACAGCTTTTTCAGGAAAGAGTTGCTCTTATAAGTCATTGGTTTGATCTCTGGACTGACAAGCAACGTCAAGAATTCTTATTCACGATTTTTTTACGATGCAGTAAATCACAGTTAAGGTAAATGTAGCCTAATGATGTCATTTTCATTGGTTCTTAAAGAAAATAAAATATGATAAAATTTTATATAACCTTTAAGGGTTTATATATTTTTTTTCCTAGGGAAAAAAAAGCAATTGATATTTTAAGATTTATAAACAGACTCTGCTTCCTGGAGGCTGAAGTGGAGCCGCTGTGGGGGGCTTTACAACCTTCTTATTATTGTGGGACTGTCTCTTTTTGGCAAAAACTTGTCAATGGCTTCAGCCAATGACTTTTTAACACCCTCTTAAGATATTAATTTCTCCTGGAAACTATAAGACAGGCGATATATTCCAAATAAATATCTGGGACATAGGTAGGCACTCTGTAAATAATCATTAAATAAATGGATAGATCTGAAAAATATATGACAAGTGACAATAGTAGCAACATTTAGGAATGTGAGCAAGACTTGTACAGTGGTGGTCTGGGATTGCCAAGGGCTTCTTGTTCTTATTCTTTCCCCTCCCTCACTTTATGTCTGTAATTTACTCCAAAATACCCAGCATAGACATTTGTTGGTTGAAATGACACCCAGGGACATTTCGTGTTCTGATCAGGAATTAATGGATTAATGACTCCAGGGATCGTTAGCTAGCTCTAGACTGGAAATGTCACAAAACCTCAGTTTATCAGATACTTTGCTAATTAGCATAGCAAATATCAGACATTAATTATTATCAGAGCAACCAGTGGCTTGTTAACGAGCCTGATGAATGCTAGAAACCGACGCTGGTTGGTGAAATTAAAGGTATTTGTAATGTGTGGACTGACCAAAATATTCCAGAGGGCCCTCCAGCCATGCCCGGACCTGAGTGGAAGACTCCAGCTAGGCTGGTGCCAGGTGCCTGAAAGAAAGGTTTCCCAGGCTTCCTCCCCAAATAGGTGGCCTTGTGTCAGTCTAGGGGATTTCTAGTATCCTGAGGCCAGCAATGAGGGTAATAACAAAACGCTATTACATCGTCCTTTCTCCATTGAATGAACTCTCACCCTGAGCAGAGAGAGCTGGGACTTCATCGAGCTTACAGAGGAGACCGTATGAAGCGGCTTATTTACTAATGTTTGTTTAGGGAAACTTCAGGTGTTCACTAGAACCTGGGGGTGAGGTAGCTAACCTTTCAATTTCTTAGGAAGTTACCAAAAAGGATCTGAGAATTGTGCATGACCAAATTGGCTTGTTTTCGCTTACAATACCCACCTTCCACTCTTTCTTACCCTTTTCCCTACCCCTTTGATGGGCCATTTCTGCTCTCCTGCCCCTTGTCAGCTACTTCTGCATCCGTGGCTGCAAAGCAGATCGTTGATGTTCTCTCCCTGAGGGAGTCACTGGCAGGAGACAGGCACCTTGCTGGCTCTGTTGACAGAGGCTGCAAAGACAGGCCACAGAAAAACAAACCCTTCAGTCAGTGTTTAAGAATCAAGCGGAAGGGGCAGTTTAGGATAGTCATTGTCTGTGTTTCCTTTTACTCCAACTTTGCAGCTTTCAAGCTAAGAAAATAATAGACCAAACCTCATATTTATAACCGTTTTGTGCATCATATTCTAGGCTCGTGTACCATAAACCAGGCAATTTTTGTTGTTGACCACTGGAGGTCATTAGAGATCTTGTGGTATAATTTGAGGCAGCTTAACCTTAGGCCTGACATTTTTGTCACTGGAAATTGCATCCTTTGTCTAGTACTGAATTCTTCTTCCTGTGGACCAAAAATATGACACTAACCTGTTCAATGAAATCACTTTGCTTTTTTCAATAGTGTACAATTCAGTGGTTTTAGCACATTCACAGAGTCGTGTAATCATCACCACAATCTAAATTGAGAACCCAGTTTCAATCACCTCCAAAAGAACCCCCCTACCCATTAGCAGTAACTCCCCAACTGCATCTCCCTGATCTGAGGAAATAGTAATCTACTTTCTGTCTCTATAAATTTGCTTATTCTGGACTCTTCATATAAAGAGAATCATACAGTACATGATCTTTTGTGACTGGCTTCTTCCACGTATTATAAGCTTCTCAAGGTTCATCCATTTTATGGCATGTATAAGTATTTCTTTCCTTTTTATTGCCAACTAATATTTCATTGTATGGATATACCATATTTGTCAGTTGATGGACATGTGGGCTGTTTCCCCATTTGGGTTATTGTAAATGCTACTGCTATGAACATCTGTATTCAAGCTTTTGTATATGGATGCTTTTATTTCTCATAGGTATATATTTAGGAGTGGATTGCCAGTGGTAACAGTGCAATCACCTTTTAATTATTAACAGTTTCTTTTGAATCATGTTTATTTTTGTAATCTCTCTTCCCCCATAACTATGAATAATAAGCTTGCTAATAAATGAGAGAAATTAGCATTGCTTGAATGCTTCAAATCTTTATAGGTAAGCTGAGCTGTATTTGTGCAATACCTTTTTTCAAGGCAGAGAAGCCATTGTTTTAGATGTTATCCTTTATGATTTTCAAATACTTTTGTTTTAATTCAGAAAGTTACAGTTATAAACAGGGTATTGCAATATTGGTGGAAAATATGTCATCATTATTTTCTTTAAAAGTTTCTTCTTAACCTCTATGAGATATATTCAAATATCTAAGAGTTTTCTGTCCTAGTATTCTCTATTATTAAGTATTAAGGTGATTTCTTAAATGGGATTTTATGATATTTAAGACTTTTTTTTTAAAGGTTCAGCCTCTTAAATCATCTTTCTGGCAAATTCTTCTTTTCACCCCAGCGTAAATGTCGCCTCTCCTGGGAAGACTTCTGTGTTCATCTTTCATGCCTCAATCGTGGCTTTCTCCCAGTACGTTAAGCTTCTGTGTCCCCGTGACTAATGGCTTCCAGTGGTGTCTTTCCCCTGCCACTTGACTAGTTTGACCTTTCCTGTGACTCCTTAAAGGAAACTGGGCTGTTTGTGTCTGCCACACTTGGAGAAACCTACCAGGAGTTTGAATCAGTCTCCTTGCCGTACTGGTGAGACCGGTTTCAAACTGCCTCTGCTCAGCGGCCAGGGGCAATGCCTTACACAAAGGCCTTTCATTCCAGGCCTGGAGCTGCTCAAACTTGTAGCTTCCCTGGGTGGGTTGGGCAATGTTCATGCAACTGCATTCCCAAGAGGGGGCTGGATTGACCCTGGGGTGTGTGCGTGTGCGAGTGCATGCATGTGTGTGAGCGCGTGCGTGTGCTGGGGGGAGAGCGAGATCACGACCAGCCCATGAGAGGTTAGCTCTTGTCACTTGTCTCCATCAGAACAGTCTGGAAATGGGGTGGGAAGGCAGAAAAATGGACCAACCAAGGTGTATTTCAGAGAGAACAGCCCCCACTCCCACTTTAGGACACCCTGCACCCTCAGTTCTTTCCAAGCAGCCCGTGCAAGGGCTCCGTTGAGGACAGCTGTCTCAGTTGTGCTCTGCGAGGAAATCAGGGGTGTAGTTTTTCAGAGACAACACACTTCCAGGTTAATTTTGAAAATAGAACAGCTGTATCAGTTACTGAATGTTTTTGTGTGGAGGGGCTGGAAGTGTTAAAGAAAAAAAGTCACTCAATGATACTTTGTTAAAGCACAGGAAGGCAGACGTTATTCAGGACCGTGGCGACAGGTACAGGAACCACCGCAATGGGGCCGTGTGGTGGGGAGAGAGATTGGGCTCCCCTCCAAGGACAGCATGAGCCAGTGGGCATTCACAGCCAAGGAGTGGGCTGGGGTCAGTGGGAGGAAATTACTAAGAGGGACATCAGGGGGAAGGGAGATGCTGGTCACACTGACCTCACAGGACTCTTGCTGAAGACAGGCCTGGGTGACCAGACATGGCCTCAGGGAGGGTGGAGGAGGAACCTGATCACACACTGAGGGTGGGGAGGGCTTGCTGAACTGACTTAGCAGGGTTCTTTGCTAAAACTGGATTTCACAAGGAAGTGCCCAGCTGGGCCAAGGAGACTCGGTCAAGCAGAGACTCTTCATCAGAGAGGAGAGGGGAGTATTCAGAGACAAATTGTACGCTTGTTCCAAAATTACTGCTGTTTAAATATCCAAGGCAAGTCTGGATATCTGGGTCATTGCGACCCCTCCTTCCCCACAGCCCAGCACCCTGGACACAGTCCTGTCCTTCCACACAGGTTGGCTGGTTATGGACAACTATATTATTAGCATTTTGTTACTGAGATGGTTTTTAGGGGTGGACAAAGTTTAAAAAGAAAATTCTTGAGTTGAAAAGGAAAAGAGAAACCAAAACCCAAAGCTGTTTGATTGGGTAAGGGATGGGGCCAGAATGGATGGACAGAAGGGCATTGACTTACATTAGGCCGAGTCCATGCACTTGAAGTTCTCACTCTCATTTTGTAAGCGGGGCTGTTCTCCCTTTATGGCGTTCAACTTCCCTGTACAGTACTTAGCACCACCTGACATTTTGTTACATACAGTACTTGCCTGCTTGTTCACTTTCTGCCTACTCCACTAGAACAAAAGCTGCATGGTGACTCTGTCTCTAGCACTTAGAGCAATATACAGGCATATAGTGGCCACTCCATAAATGCTTATTTAATGAATCCGGATATCCAAAACACACCCAATTACAAAAATAACAAGAAGATAATCAGAAAAAAAATGTGAGTGCCTCTCTTCTATGCTCTAAGAGCTCTGGCTGCAGGAAGAATGCCACGCTGTGCTATGGGCAGGTGTGTATCTGTCTGCCTCCCAGACAGGGTCAGTAGCGCTGTAGAAAAGGGCACATGCTGTTTGCCTTTGACTCTCTAGGAGAAGAATTTACACACAGCAGGTGCCAGTGCATGTGAAAGGCACTGCATTATTGGATTATGATGGAGGCTGCAGGTGCTGAGAATGGCATGTCCTCATCTCCTCATATTAGGGACTCACCTAGCCTAGACCTTTCATTGCATTTTTTTAAGCATGCCATAAACCATGACAGTTTGGGGAACCTCTGTCCTGTGCACGATCTAAGTCCCCAGCTCTACTTTCCAGT